CAGCACGATCGCCACTGGCTTCTAATCTGAGCCATATCTGATAACGTCTCTAGCCACTGCGTTACACCGTCTCTCGGACCCCAACCAGGGAGTCGTGAATGACCAACAGAAGCTAGCCCTTTGCAGCTTTCTTTCATGCCACGACACCATGTCATATACTGACCACCTCTCCGCTTTTTCCAACCAGTCCCAGAGTCGGCAAATAATGCACGACGAGGAATTCTCTGGGACGACATTCGTAGAACATGTTCAAGCCACCGAAGTCGGTGTTTCAAGATGGTGACACCAATTGGATTATAGTCTCTGTGCCCGAACACACGATGTCGAACCTCTGCATTACTGACATGGTATTGCCACTGGATGCCAGCGATCCTTCGGAGACAACGATGATCGAACACAGAGAGTCGTCTAACATCCTCAACTCGGAGAGGCCAGGTTTCACAAGCATAGAGCAGAACTGCTCTCATCGACGCGTTGTAGATCCGACCTTTTACAGCCAGACGATTAACATCACGAAGGCACCAAAGATGGCCCAGATTGGCATAAGCCGCTCTGGCTTTCACTATACGTGCATTGGTCTCATCACTCACGCCACCACCAGCACTTATGCAGCTACCTAGATACACGAACTTCTCGACTACTTCTATCTGCTCACCATCCAGAGTGAGTACAGGATTAGAATCCTGCCAGTCTTGTAGAAGAACTTTGCACTTCGAAGGTGCAAAGCACATACCATACCTACGGACACTGATTGCCAACTGATTAAGTGCGGATTGTATGGCTTGAACATTCTCGCACAGTAAGACAATATCATCCGCATACTCAAGGTCGAGAAGTCTTTCTCCAGGCAACAGATCCACACCACCATTACTTACATCCATCAGAGCTGTTTCCAGAATGTCATCGATGGCAAAGTTGAAGAGGAATGGTGAGATTGGGCAACCCTGCCTAACTCTTCAATAGACAATCCCAGAGAACAGTTCTGTCCAACGAATCGAAGGCAGCCCTGATATCAAGAAACACAACGATTGTTGGCCTTTGATAAGTATGGCGGTGTTCTAACACTTGGCGGAGGGTGAAGATATGATCAATACATCCTCGACCAGAACGAAACCCAGCCTGCTCCTCGCGAGTCAATCTTTCTCGGGTTCTGAACAACCTACGAAGTATGACGGAAGCCGATTGCTTGGACGCAATCGGAAGTAGACTTATCCCCCGATAGTTGTTACAGGAACAACGTAAACCCTTTTTAAAGATAGGGACAACTATCGACTCATTCCATGACGTTGGTACACTCTCTAGTTCTCAGACCTTTGTAAACAACGTCGTTAGTTCCTTAGTCAGAAAGTCACCAACATCTTTAAAAAGAGCCGGAGGTAAGTCGTCTGGGTCTGGTGATTTGTAACGTTTCAAGAGTTGGAGTTCCTTACGGACTTCTGCCTCATTTGGTGGATCAGTCGTCACCGGCCATAGAGAGCAGGACAGTCTGACCGATGTTGCCGGAGCGACAGGCCAGTTGAACTACCCTTCGAAGAATTCTGCCCATCGTCCAAGACGTCGATGGATGTTTGTGATTGGCGTTCCGTCATCCTCGCAGATTGTTTCGTTCACACCAGACTTCTTGCTGCCAATGGCTCGGATGAGTTGGAAGAGCTTCCGGTAATTACCAGATGCAGCTGCTGCTTCTAACTCAATGGCACGCTCCGACCACCAGGCTTCTCGGTCCTTACGCAAGCTTTTCCCGTTTTCATTACGTAACAGCCTTCGTCTGTGGTCAAACTCACAGTCTCCCGGAGTAGACCGACGGGTTTCAATGAGTTGTAAGGAACCTGAAGAAACCCAGTGATTGTAAGCGGGACGTTTCGCGAAGCTGCAAGCGGCCTTACTCGCCATTTTCATGGCGTTATGCAGACGAGACCGATGCTCATCTATACTTTTCGGTCGAATGGTAGCTAGCCTAGAAACTAGCTCGGTTCGATACATACTAGCAACAAAAGTTGCAGCCAGCTTGCTAACATCAATCCTTTGGTGACGGTCACTTCGTTGTCCACTGAAAAGTAAGGTATGATTGGCGCAGACCAGAGCATGATCAGAGTCCAGATAGATACTCCAAAAGGTGCGGCAGTCTTGTACACAACCACGCCAGCGGTAGCTGATCGCGATGTGATCAATCTGAGTCCAGGCTTGAGATGCAGAGGGAGGACGCGAGGTGGCACATCGGCGATGACTGTGCCGAAAGTTAGTGCTAGCCAGAAACAGGTTGTGGTCTGTGCACAGTTGCAGTAGACGTTCCCCGTTATCTGTCCTGCGACCAACAAGTCCCCATCGGCCACCTAAACGGCTCTCTTCTGTGCCTAGACGCCCGACCTGAGCATTCAAGTCTCCGGCTAGTACTACAATATCTGTGGGATGCACTTTCTGGAGAAGAACAGATAACTGGTGGTAGAGCTCATCCTTGATTGCATCCGGGCTGCAATCTGTCGGGGCATAGGCGGAGATGACGAAAAGACATCGTTTCTCACGCCGATTTCTTTTCACTTTGATGGAACTTTCTAATCTAACAGCACATAACCGACTGTTAATGGGGATCCAGTCGACTAGTGCTGCCTCAGCTCTAGCGCTTAGTGCGACACCAACGCCAGCAAGACCAGACGAAGATGCCACAGGGTCCCCGGATAAACGCACATAAAACAAGCTTTTTGAAGCGACAGATGGAGACCGAACTTGTAGTACCTCACCAGAGTCTTGAATACGGGTCTCGGATAGACAACAAACGTCGATATTAAGACTTTCCAAAAACAACTAGCCCTATCTGTTGTCCGACCTGCATAAGTGTGCGAACGTTGAAGACAGCCAGTTTGAATGGTGCACGTGGTTTCAGAAAGACTGCTTCAGTACTCGTATTCGGTGGCAACATACAATTTTCAACCAGGCAGTGACTCGAGAACGTTTAGATAAAGCTGAATTTTTACCATAGGCGAGCTGCTGTCTGAGTCGAAACGGATACAAAAAGTAGAAATAGGAGATAGTGAAAAAATGACGTAGTAAATGATAATAATAATAATAATAATAATAATAATAATAATAATAATAATAATAATAATAATAATAATAATAATAATAATAATGCTAATAGTACCAGTCATCTCAATGTTAGTCGGAGAGAAACGAATATTTCCCATAAGCAGATAGTTCATCATGGTTTTAGTGTGTGGGCTGAGATACTGCCCGGGTGCCCAAACCGAAGCAGGTGGTTTTCTTAGGGGGCCACACCACGAGCTTTTGACCTAAAGGTCTAGTCCACAAAGCAGTGGAGCATCGTGAGGAAATGCAGTCCCATGGAAGCCGGTGACCGAAAATTGGTTCGTACGCCATTTGTTGCCTTAGGATACTGGAGCCCATGTGCACCATAGAATTTGGACCCGGTTATAGCGCCGGACATTCGCTTTTCGTCCTCTCATTTTCGTAAACAACAGTAATGCCACGAGAAGGCAGTGAGTAGGACTTCCCTGGCAGAGGCTATATACGCGTGGCCGTGTGAGAGTATTTCGAGAGGGAGGGCGAACCCTCCCCGCTCTCGGCCATACCAGAGCATTTGGGGGCAGTCTTTAAAAAATGAGAACACAAAGAAATCAGGCGTTTTATTACCATTCTGTCGACAATAATACAATGAGAAACGTGTACGTTTTCTTAGAAATTTAATGGTGTTCTTGAACATCAGCCCTTAGAGATACTATTTTCGATGCCCGAAATTTAGCTATGTAAGGATGTTTTAAAAATTCGGAGTAGCTTGTTCTGGTCCAATTCTTGGGAAATGGTTTATTTCCAAATAGTTGGTTGATAAGTAGTCCAAGTCAACATACTGATTGATCGGTGATTAATTCGAAGTAATTTATTATATTCGACGTTCTTATCGTTTCTCTATCATTTTTGGTTTTACTATACAAAATCTGTGATATCTTGCTGCCCAAACGTTTGTGCGTGGTTGTCAATACGGATAATATTTCTTGGAGTTTGATTACTAATCTATGTTCACAAATGCGTAAATGGGAATAATGTCTGGTGTAACGCCTCTTTAATTGATGTTGAATTCGTTCTCTTTTGTTGTTACATCCTCTAGTCTACATAATGTAGACATCTTTTGACAAAGTTATTCTGCTGGTTACTTAGTTCTAAATTTCTAGTGGCACTGAAGGATTTCCGACGGTCATTTTTACTGCTTCTCAGATTATCACTGAATTATTGCTAATAATTTGAGATGGTGGAGATTTGTAACTCAGGTGGATGATTTTTATGGAGTTTTGTTCTCTGGTCTGGATGGTTTGGTCGTGGAGCTTTCATCGTTCTTCTGAACGACAGCATCAGCACAAACTTCAGGTAGAAGTGAAGTGTTCGAGTTTCTCTACATGTAATTCACGGCTTGTCCTGTATACCTTGATGCTAAATGGTTTTTGTTAACCTTAAACCCGTCATTGTTTACTTCTTTGTTTTGGTTGATTCTCCCATCGGTTTGATTTTTGTTCCTATTTTTGTCAATAACTTATATTTTTTTAGGTTACCAAGAATCTGTTGCATTGCTAATAATTCTTGTCGTAGATATTTTCATGCTTGGTCTAATCTGTGTGTTATTTGATGTCGTTTTGTATCGATCAGTTCTCCTCTGTTCTTAAAATGATCCTTGATGCAAGCTTTTGCCAACTGAGCTCTGGAGCAATTTTCAATATAATTCTGTAACCAAGATGTGTGAAAACTTTTCAGTGATACAAGAAAATTCCAAAAATAAGTGAAGTTTAAACAGTATCGTTATCACCACCTAAGCTTCTATGATTGTTTTTGAATAATAAAACTAATGATCGGTAGGTTTCTAACTTCGCCACCCCTGCTATTAGTCTTTATATTATGAATTTAACGCTTCCAACTGGTCTTTCCATAACGTCGTTTGTATGATATTTACTTTAGCCGATTAGATCTTTTCTCTCTATACTTATTTTTGCTTTTAGCTGTCTGAAATGCGGTTTCACATCTCGGTTACCTTCAAAGTTTTTAGAACTATCCTTGAAAGTTTCTTCAAAGTCACTTCCAGATTGTATACGGGATTATTTAAAGGTGATGTTTATTTTATATTAGCTACATTTATAAACAGTTTACGTTGGTAGTGATTAAATGCATGGGTCAAGTAAAGTCATCCTCCGATTGCTAATTAAGATTTTTTTGTGTAAAAAGTATAAAGTTCATTCTTTCGAAAGAATACCCTATTGATGTCTTTTGTTAGGAATCTATCATATTCCATGTACTCTACAAGGTTGCTAGCATACATCGAGATTTCTCTTTATTATATCTTGTGATTAGTTCAGTAAAATGTATTAAAATAAGACAATAGTGCAACTGTATCGTTCTAGTTTGGGACTCCTCAGCATTGCGGATACAGGAACTACCGGATTTGCGGATAACGCGTTCCAGTATTTTCCACTCCCCCTGTTATTTGGAGAAACGAGAGATGATTACCATGGAATTCGTACGCCAGGTGTATTCAGCGATGAAAAGAGGTACAATGAGGCAAGATTGTTCGTAGACATATGTGGTTGAATATAAGTACATTCTGATAGATGTTTAAAGGCTTTATACATATGTTTTAATATTCACAAACCTAATGCTTATAAAACGGTAATTTGGTTGCAATTTTGCATATTTTCTGCTGAAAATCCTTTTGTGTATTTAGACTTATGATACTGAACAAACCAAATATTGTTATTATGTAACTTGAAGATATTCACGGTTTTCTTCTGAATATGTCCTTTTTAAAGAAGTTCTACTTCGGTTTAGATGTGGATTTTAAATAACGAATGAAATCGGTTGTTATCATTGATTAATCTTGAGGCTTTCAACTTAGACTACCTCAAAAAGCTCTTTAACTTGATAAGTTACCGAATCCGCCATGGATGGTTACAAACTTTTAAAAAATGATGGCTATGTATGAGTATGTGCATATTGTTTCATGAATGAATGAATTTTCATATGAAGTTAATCTCTGTTCGATTGCCTATTTTCCGATCTCATTGTTTTAATTTATTGGTTCAATGTCATCATCGTTGACTGTTTTCCCTCTACTGAATTCATCATATTTATTGTTATCTATAGGAAGAACAATTAGTTGGCGATAATCGATATGCTTGTTCACAGTGTGGTTGTAAACAAGATGGTATTAGAAGAGCCTATATAACACGTGCTCCACCATTGTTATGCATTCAGTTGCTTAGATTCACTTACGATTCAAACACTGGTCAACGTAAAAAGTATAAAGCGTCTATTCGTCTACCTGATCTTCTTGAGTTGACAAAAGTTGTTGAAAATCCAAAAAGTAATAAACATCTGAATTGTGAACATTCTGTTGAATGTCTGAGTGTAGATTCAGGTATTATTTATTGTTGTTTTATATATACTGATTCAAATCAACATTCTATATGAGTCATATGAACATCAATTTTATTCTATTTTTTTTGACAATCCTGAATTCACATTCTTTAACTTTAAACGATATACTTTGCCCGTAACTCGGCCATTTTTCGGATCATTAATTTGGATATATAGTTGTAGAACCTGAAAAGAACCAATTTTTGCATTATAAAGGAATTTAATTATAAAATAATACAACTTTATGTGTATTTGTTTCAGAAGCGTTCGATCAAATCCTTACAATATTAATAACCAGGTTAGAAATATGGACATTACTCATGTAAAGCGGTGGCTTAGTTCGTTAATTTTCTTGGCTTTGAACCAGTGCATCACCAGTTTGAAACCCGCTCCACTTTTTTCGTTATAGGTTGGCCGTCATATACAAACAGTGTTGCTCGAAACCGTGCACATAAACCTGTATTTGACAAACCAGTCGTAACAAATAACTTCTAGTATACAGGAAAATTGCATATAGATAATTTGTCATCATTATCAACTCATGAACCAGGTACTTGACTTTGAACCACACTGTAAATTTGAGGGCTGGTGATATTATTCGGTTTCCCAAACCAAATTAGCTGGAGCGGCTTTTGAACCTGCTACTTAGTAGCTTAAAATCAAACCATTTATTCACTAAACCACCACTCCACACACAAATAAAACTTATCATAGAATACAACTGTATAGTTGATTATGTGGAAGTTTCAGAAAAACATTACCACTACAGAGGTTTTCTAAAACGATCCATGTTAAAAAGGTCAGGTTTTCATTTTTTTTTCGTCTTGTGATTTAAAAGTTTAGTTATTGGGGCAGTGAAATCCGAACAATTTTTACTGTGAAACTAATTAGTTTAAATTGGTGTTATTTAATTTGTACAAATCATGTAATAAACAATGATAACATCTGTCTAAAAGTTAGTTTCGTAAATGTTGCCAAGATTTTTGTAATTGTTATTTTCAGGCAACTCAAATGGCTTATCGAGTGTATTGATATATCTTATCTGATCTGTTGATAATATGGCGATTACATTTTCTGTGTTTGTCCAATCATCAATGCACATTCTATATCTGTTTAGATATCATTGTTATTTATCTATTTGAACACATAAATATTGGTACAAAGGGACACCGAATACATATGCGCCACACAAGTCACTTGAATTATGTGTTTGCTGTGATACTACCCCGGTGCCCAGACCGAAGGTGGTTTTCTTAGGGTGCCATAGCTAAAGGTCTGATTCACAAGGCAGTAGAGCAACGTCAGGAGATGCAATCGCATGGTCATCAACAATTGGTTCATACGCCATTTGTTCCCTCAGGATCCTGGAGCCCATGTGACCCATTGGTTTGAAACCAGGGTTTTCCATTTCCTCTAAGTGGATCTTCCGTATCCACCATCCTGGTTGAAACACCGGACATTCGATTTTCGTCCTCTCAATTTCGTAAACAACACCCCTGCCGCAAGAAGGCAGTGAGTAGGACTTCCCTGACAGTGGCTGTATACTCGTGGCCATGTGAGAGCATTTAGAAAAGGGGAGCGGACTCCCCCAACCCTCTACCGTACCACGGCATTTGACAGCCATCGTTACATACATAAATGTCAACATAACCATTCCAAAGATTCATAATCGTGAATGTGTGTAATATTCACGCGTTAAGGCGATGATTAATCTGTTTAGAGCACATTATGTTTAAGGTTTAAATGTCAAATTATCTGAATATTCTTGCTTTGGTAGACTGCCTAGTAAAGTTCTGTCCCTTTTAGTTAATTCAATTCTTTTCATCTCATTTTTTGCTGATTTTCTAAATATTTCTTTCAATTATCTTGTCAAAGAAAACAGCCCTTTACTACTAATATCATAAGCCGTTTATTAACGGCTCAGTTGAGTGGTATGTTAGACAGGTGTAGATGGTTAATAACTGAGCATAATGTATAATGTCATGTGAAATACAGTAGATGGTGATGTCAATCCATGAAACCTGTAATTTCTATCTTATTTCTCCACTCTTACCGTACCCATCAAGTTAGTACAATAGAATTTTAACAACAAAATATAGATGGAAACGCTAAATTGCCATTGTGATAGATATTGTTAACATTTTATTGTACACCTGCACAATAACTGTTTTCACAAATTTTATACTACTTAGAACATGTTGAGTATTTTATTAGTTTCCTTAGTCAGAAATCTATCAAATAATACAATTTTGTTAAATTACTTAACTAAAATTGTAATAAATAATTTAATGATCAAATCACTGAGTTTTGAAACAACAAGTTGTGACCAGGTTAACCTTAATTTGATGTCAATGGAGAGACATTATTGTTACTAGTTCTCACATTATAGAAAACCCTGTAACTCGATATCAAGTACGTAAATATGTACTTCGTAAATGGATTATTTTTCAGAAATTAAATATCACGTAATTTTAATAATGCTTGGTACGTTTTCAATGTACCTGTTCATTTTTCGTTTCACTTATTTTGGTCTTGTCACCCCTTGTGGGTTGATGTCTAATGAAATCTCGGCACGAATCCTGAAAACTCATCTGGCTTTTTCCAAGTTGTATCATTTGTAGCGTAGGTGAAATGTTCATCTACCAATCGAAGGATGATATTAATGCTCAACAGTCCGCTCTGTCCTACTTTATAGGCGTGGATCATGACCACTAAGAATGGATATTCTTAAGTTACTTATATCCTTTCATAAATGTCTCCAAACCATCGCTCCTGTATTTTGGGACAACTGAGTGGGCAGTGGTGAGCTAGGCATATGGCACTAAGTAAATACAAGAAATTGGTTGGTGAAGTTGTGATTCTTCATCGACTGAGATGGTCGGGTTGTGTGGTACATATCCCCAACCACTACCTACCAAAATGGCACTCATGCATTAGCTCTGTTTCTTCCTTTCGCTCTTGGGCCCCGAAGTCCTGTACTTTGTCTCCCCCTATACCTAATCGTTCCTATTACTACTGATACTGTTACTACTTCTACTCTGGTATTTGCCTTGTTAAGTTCAGTCTTTTTCTGCTAATGCGATGTGAGAACTTGATTCAAGGCACATGTATAGACCAAGTTCTATATTGCATGTGACTGATTGAGTGTAATATTGAGTTTGCTGCTAATAAACTACCATTTAGATAGTTTTATATTTATTTCAGATCCATGTCATCGCGCATATCGTCTCTGCGGTGTGCTTTTACATATTGGAAATCAACCAACATCGGGACATTATGTAGCTGTTCTTAGAGATTCTTACAAAAGAATCAATTTGTCTGATGATAAAAACACAGAATCAAGTACTGAAGATGATCCTCTTTTAAAATCAAATGAATGTTGGAGTGTTTGCAATGATATAGATGTAAGTGTTGTGAACAAGAACACAGGTGGGAACGACCGGTTTATATTTTACATAAAATTATTAAGTTCTTTGGTAAATTGTGGAAAGCATACATTGAATGTTTCGTTTGCAAATTTCCATCATTTGTCCTTCACATTCTGTACGATTCTTCCAATTTGCGATCCCCTTCTATATCCGTATTTGTTCTCTTCAACTTGATCTGCCCAGTCTTCTGCTGCCAGGTTTTCCACTTCCGATTGGTGTTACATACTACTTATGTCGACAGACATAGTCATACGCCTTTTTTCCTTATTTCAATTTAAATCACTTAGTATCTTAACTGGATTCCACATTAATCTGACACATATTTAATTTACTTGTTTAACAGTCTAAGTAAGAGCTCAACAAAAGAATTCAGTATTTAAGTGCAGTTTCCATTTATTCAGCATAAGGGCGTGATTTTTGTTTTCAGGTTAGATAATACGATTTCGGGTTTCAAAATATGTCTCAATTATTGGAACTCATATGTTTCAACTGCCAAATCATTCACTCTGTACACTTGTTATGTATTTGAATAAGCTTTGTTCAAATTTATTCACCAATTTCTACTTCATTTTCAATTGTCTCATATAATGAATACAGAACGTATGTTTTTTTTCAAGGTCTTCAATGTACCGTCAAATCAATTTAAATTAGCAAAAATTAACGGATCAGCTAAATCATTGCAAAGCTATCTAGCCACTACTGAGACATCGGATTCATCAATAAACCTTACTAAATCTGATCAACCTTCTGAAAAGTGTTCTAGTCGTAGAGCAGCCAAAAAACCTCGTCATGATACTTCCTCAAATGATCTTAGTTTCACTGACCTCAATGAAAGTAGAGATTCTACAACTTCTAAGTGTAAATCACTGGACGATTTATGGCATAGTTCAACTAATGCGTATATGGTATTTTATGAATCGGTGGATAATTGTAATATGGATGAAGGTAGTATAATTAGTATATTCTTTCGTATAACAATTGATGTTTACTATGTGAATTTTTATAGTTTCTATGTACATCATAGATTCAACTACATCACTAACTGACATCAATAAAGCAGCCATTAAAAACCAAATAACTTTAGATAGCTGTTCCTGTCCTAGTGTGAAACTCAGCAGTGCAAACCCAAAATTTAATGGGGGTCGAACCCAGGACATACAAGTCTCCTACTGGGCCCTTACCTTTTAATAACAGAGTCAACATCCACTTGTTTATATTTTGAATCTTATTTAATTCGTAGTATTTCACAACCACCTCTTAATTTCATTCATTGCTAATTAACTGCTACACACCTGAAATAGTTGAACTCCACCGGTCACGGATTCTCACTAGAACTCGGGGAATCATCTCTTGAAATTAGTCATTGGTGAGCACATGATTAAATCAACTATCACAAATATAAAATAATGTATATTTTCAGAAGAAGTAATCGAAAAGTAAAAGAACGATGGCAGTAGTTATTGAAATATAAGAGTGATTCACTCTAAGAATAATTCTGTATCTCTTATATTTGAGTTTACATGATTGTTGGTAATACCTTTCTGTTTTATTCATGGCCATTTCAAACTAAGTTTTTAAATATATAGATTACTTATGTTCGAATAAGTCGAGTGTTCTTTAGCATATTTTCTGTACAAAATTAAGCATAACACTTCAAACATAAGTATCTATGTAGTTACGTATCGTTTAGCTGGGTGTTGTTACGCTTTTCAAAGTCAGTTTAATTGTCTGTTAAAAGTCACGCATTGCTGAGATATCACATTATTTGCACAATACGTTCCATTTGTGACTTGAGGAGATTACGAACTATATAAATTTAAACTACTTGTTTCTCATTTGAAATTAATGTTAAGATTGTTCGTTATACTCAAAAATTATAGTGACACAGTTTCGCTTCATGGGCAATCATATCAATTTATAAACGAACCTAACGACCTATCGGCTATGAATGCTGAAGTTTCAGTTATTTTGGTGTTTGCTACATTTAGCTGCTCTTACTATTTTAGGTATGTATCAAAATAGACTAGCAGTTTCCAATACATATCATTATTTCCTACTTTATGAATAGTGCTTCGTAAACAAGACTTCTCTTTAGTCATTATAATATATGTTTACAACTTATCGTTCAATTTCTTTTTGTTCATCTAAGATTTATCAAGGTAACGTGCACGTTGTATTAAGTATAGCATACATAATTGGAGAACGTATACTCAGGTGATTCCATATGGTAGTCACTAATTCTACCTTTTACCAACCATGTTGTTCGTAGTATGTCTCATTAATTTCACTCACACAATGCGAGTCATATTCCTCAAGAGCGGTTGACTTTCAGTCACTATGAAGTGGGTTCGAACTGTGTTCCACCTATTTCGGTTTCAGCAACTGATTAGTTTCGCCCTAGCCCTCACATCTAGAATGTGACTCAAAGCCGAGTACAGTAATCTGTGCCTGGCAAACGAATATTTTTTAAAGAAATGTCCTTCAAGAACAGAAATAATGTAACCATCGAACTACTTGATGTGCACTAAGAAAGTATGTTTTACAACTGTGTCCTTATTGTACCATGTACCATTAAAATATTTTACAAGTTATTTTGAATTTTTATCGATGTATAAATTAAAATTAGTTTATATTTGACTAATTTCATAGTTATTTGTATATTTCCGTTTTTCTCTCCCTATAGATATAACAGTTCCTGGTGACTTACGCAAAACAATTGAAGAAGTAAATTTAACTGAACAACGAAAGCTTATATCTGAACAACAAAATAAAGTATGTTATTGCAAAATTTTCTTCTGGCCATACATGTTAGTTGGTAAATTTATAATTCCTATTAGCAAATTCAAAACACGAAATTCAGCAAACCGATTTTATTTTTCTAACGAATGTATTATGAGAAATTAAGTGTCTAAAGAAATATAAATCATGACTAAATAGGATGTAATGTATTAATCTTAATCTTTATTACTTTATACCTAATGAATTGATCAATTTGAATAAGTGAAGATTATTGTTTAAAGTACCAAAACATTTCAAATAAATATTAGTTTAATTATCTTTTAAACTTCAGTCTAGCTTTCTTATCTGTCTTTATTTGCCTTGGAATGTAGAGCTTTCCTACTTTGCAAAACAATATTTATAGGATATGTATTAAATTGATAACAGGTTGATGTTTATTTGTCTTTCCAGAAAAATGTATAAACCACTAAGATTATTTGTAACGATTGCCATTTTACAAAGATCATGTTCAGTACTCCTCAATTATCTACATAACGACAGTTTTTTTCTTCTGACAGGTGAATCGTAAAAATCAATTACTTGAAATACTGTCCAACCTGAAATTACCTGATCCTATCAATTCATCAACAAATAATAATACTCCGATTTCAATAAACACTCTCGATAATGTATCTTTGGTATCAACATCTTGGTTATGTGATTGCCTTAATAATCCATTGTTATTGAGAGATGCCTGTTTAACTGATTCTCAGATAAAATCGCTTTCAAAACTCCAAGACTACATATTTCCCTCTTCTTTGTCAAATCAATCATCTTATGCCTTACGTACCTGTTCACATGGCCATGCTCCTACAGATCTTGTTGCAGGTTCATACAGAGCTGTTTCTACCGAAGGTCTTAAAAAGCTTATTGAGATTCTCTTCCCAAAATTATTTGATGCCATTCAATCTGAAGATGATAGGTACACAGTTTTGTATTATAACTATCTCATCTTTATTATTATTATTATTCATAGTGTACAAGTAATCTTTTGTCCTGTTAAAAACTCATTATTTTCAGTAAGAGGAATTGTGGGGATTGTAGTATTTTTAACAGTTGGATTCACGAGTCGATCTAAGCTAGACCACCATTAGGAAACTGGAAGCACTGGATGGCCGTTTCGTCCTAGTATGGGACTCCTCAACATTGCTCATTCACGATCCCGCGCACGGGATTCAAACCCTGGACTTTTGGTCTCGCGTACGAACGCTTGACCTCTAGGTTGTGTCGTGTTTTAAGATACAGTGATTATTATTTTGTAGCCTATTAAAATCTTAAAGTATTTGTTCATTTTAATTGACAGGTTAAGAATAGAAAAACATCCTTATTAAATGATACCACTTAAAATATCTTTTCTGGAATAATTCTTTTTTATAGAAATCTATTTTCCTTATATAAATCTACTGTGATCTAATAATTGTTTTCAAGGTTTAATCAATTTCAACCATGTCGAAAGTGTATTACACTAAATATCGCATTACTAAAAGTTGAAAATGCAATTAAAGAATTATCTAAAGAATTGGACTATTTTATAAAAACTAATCATTTGTCTTCCTCATATTATAAACGTCTTCAAAGTGAAAAGGTAAGTATCTATATTTTTTTTAATGACTGAAATATATAATTCTTTCCATGCCTTCTTTAATGATTTTTATCTACTGTTTGATTGATGAACGTTTCGCTAGTATATTTTACAGCTGCTCACACTGTGGATGGATAATTTTCGGGGTACCTTGAAAGGAAAGTGATCTTGGCGACCTGAAATTATGAACACAGAGCTAAAAAGATTACTACTATTTTCTGTGTTCATTCAAAGTGTATGAACTTTGATTTATATTATTCCACCTAGGGGAGTTCGAAAACTCTGATTCCAAACCAATGGAGTACAATGGCTCAAGGATCCTGAGGGAACAAATGGCAATATGAACCAATTACTGGTCACCGGATGTCATGCGGCTGTATCTCCTGGCGTTGATCCACTGCCTTGTAGATCAGACCTTTGGGTCGAATGCTCCGGGTGTGGCCCCCTATGAAAACCACCTTCTTCGGTTTGGGCACCGGAGCAGTATCACAGCCCACATACAATTCAAGTGACTTGTGTGGTGCATATGTATTCGGTGCCTCTTTGTATCAATATTAGTGTTCAAATAAATAAATAGGATTACATTTATTATTTATTTATTTTAACACATAGGTATTGGTACAAGGAGGCACCAAATACATACACGAATCTCAATTGATTTGTGTGAGGGCTGTGATACTGCCCGGGTGCCCAGACCGAAGCAGGTGGTTTTCTTAGGGGGCCACACCCCGAGCCTCCGACCTGAACGTCTGATCCACAAGGCAGTGGAGCATCGTGAGGAGATGCAGTCCCATGGTAGCCGGTGACCAACGATTGGTTCATACGCCATTTGTTCCTTCAGGATACTGGAGCCCATGTGCACCATTGGTTTGGGGTCCGGTTAAAGCGCCGGACATTCGCTTTTCGTCCTCTCATTTTCGTAAACAACAGTAATGCCACGTGAAGGCAGTGAGTAGGACTTCCCTGGCAGGGGCTATGTACGCGTGGCCATATGAGAGCATTTGGAGAGGGAGAGCGGACTCTCCCCACTCTCGGCCGTACCAGGGCATTCGGGGGCAAAGGATTACAAGTTTCAACATTTCGTCTCACTTGCTTTAGGTTTAAGCAGCCAGGTGGTATCACTTGCTATCTGTGGAACCTAAGCCTGTACTTCGGTTAAATGCTTCGAATTTCCAAAAATACATTGTTGAAATAGTTTATTCCTATCATCTCTGGTTTTTAAGTTTATGCTAATATATTCCTTTGAATTTTTAAAGACAGACTCGATTCCTTTGAATCCTGAACCTGGATATTATTTAATTGGTAAGAGATCTCTTCGTCAATGGAAAATCCTTGCACGTCATTTCACACGAGCTTTTTACTCTGATTATGATGATGATTCTAAGTTACCAACAACTGGCCATCATACACAAACAACATTTAATCATGATATTCTTTGTCCTCACGGTCAAATTTGTACAGAAAATACACGTCATTTACCAGCCGTACTTTGGCATAAATTAGTCGATTTATTTCCTGGTGTAAAAATTCCTACATTTCCTATTCATATTCCTTATGACAATAACAATAATACATCTATCAATCCCATTAGTATATTCAATAAATCAGAGTCATCTTGTTCTGAATGTAACTCAGTACAAAATGACTTGACAAAACGAGCATTGTGTGAACGTCAAATGCTTCCTAGCTTATTCTTGTCAAATGTTCAACGTATGCGACTTTTACACTCTACCAGTCAAACAGTAAACACAGCTGTAAATATAAAAGAAGACACTTTAAGCAAATGCAAATTTAACTTTGAAAGGTAATTTACACTCTTTTAAATTGGTAAAATAAATTACTATTTCCCATGATGATGATTTTACTTCACTTACCTCTAAATTTAATTTAGTTCTTTGTTGGGCATAAGAATGAGTGGATTTTTTCTTTTAAAATTTTGTGAATGAAAATACATTCTTCTTCCAGTTAAATCATCTCAATTTTCAGTTCAGATTTAACCAATCAAAAATAGCGAATGGATTGAGAAGGTACTAGAAGATACCTGCGTGACCTAAATAACTCAGTTCATGAAACTGTGTGAGGTCAGTTTGAGTCCCGTAGAGAGCGCCATTTCCCTCAATGCACAGAAGTTTTGCTGGTGCGTGTAAACTAATGCGAAAATCAAGTACAGAATTTTCCGTCGACTACCTCCAACCACTTAACTATTAACCTTAACGTTTGTCATTTGAATGACCTTTTCTAATACATTTTTAGTTACTAATGTTGCTTATTTATTTGTTTCTAGGGTCAATAATTCTAAGTCAGAAAATGTAAACGGTCATTCTACAGATACTGATAAGGAATTAAAAAATTTAAATACCAATGCTATTTACTTGATTCCAATGGGTTTTGTTATACAATGGAGGAAATTTATTCGAAATCCAACAGCAGATAATTTACCCAGTTCGCTATTATCTGGCTTTAGCTCAGATGGCGTGCTTTGTGAACATGGTCAAGTAATAAATTAATTTTTACAACTCTATTATTTGATTTTGTGTAAATGAAATGAAAACTATTTAAGTGATTATAATAAACATACCTATGTACACCTTTACACATGCTATTATTTATTATTTTTTTCTAGTTATTTATTTATTTATTTATTTATTTATTTATTTATTTATTTATTTATTATTATTATTATTATTATTATTATTATTATTAAGCAAACAGATCGACATGAAATGGGATCACTTTGTATAACTAATCTATTTTGTGTTGAGTCTACTGAAAATCGACGAATGAATGGTTAAAACATTCTGAATTATTGAATCCTATGTCAAAACAATATTCACGTAATTCGATTTTAAGCAATCTGTTGGTACATTTATCCCTCACAAGTAAAGCTCACTTGCATAATATACGTTACTAGTAATAATCTCTAGAATCCTAACTAAATCTGCTTGTTATTCGATATTTACATAAAGAGTCAAATATTAGGAAATGACATGTTTAATTGTTGCATATATTTCAAGAATAGCTACACATAGACACAGTTATAGGGAAGAAGAAAGCAGTCATTTAATCAATTCAAATGTTTCAATTTGGACTAAAATTTTCAGTGATGATGAGCTCTTAAATAAGCTATTTTAATAATGCTGTTAGCTTGTCCAGTGGTCCATGAACTGAAAATTTTCAACTAAAGTGATCTGTACATGGCAACACATAAAGTTTTTAAAATGAAGTATTTAAAGTAAAAGTGGCACAAGAGTCCAAGTCTTTCTTTGTTTATGAGAAAGGATGGTGTATTTATTTCGTTGCCAAAATGTTTGGGAAGGTCGTTGCAATATCAGCTTAGAAAGTCTTCAATCCTTGTTTTACTGCTACAGTTTCTCGTCTTACCGGTCTTTTAATTAATCGAATAAATTATTGATTAACTGCACATTTAATCAGAACTTATTAATTAGACAACTCCAAACTTACCATAACGTACATTAATTTTTCGGCTGACAAGCATGTCTCTAGATTCAGACAGATACTTCAACGTTTTATACATAACTCTCTTCCTCTCTTATCAGTCAACTATACAAAGTGTCATGTACAAATTATTCTTTTGTTCACTTGGTATACTGTATATCATAATACGACCGCATATACAGACCTAAGTACATATCTCTAGACAAAATGTATCGCAAACTATCTCCATAAATGTCATTCGTAGCCTAACCAGCCACTACTTTACTTCGAGTCCGTGAGGATACTATAAGATGTTTCAGACATGATGAGCTTTCCCGTTACTCTTCTACAAGTGCACTTGTCGCCGTCTACTTTGACACTGGTGTAGGATTCGTTTTGAAAAACGCTAACAGAAGCCAAACCGAAACGTGACGCTAGTCCATTTAATTACTATTTGTCTATCTAAACCATGTTGGAAGATGAAAATTACCTGCTTCGTGATCAATTGTTGGAGAACTCGGATGACATCATTCTAAGCCAGTCACGATAGCGCAGATAAATTCATTCTTTATCTTTCTCCAGAACTTTAGATTCAGTGTTATCATATATTTTTATTTCGTCTCGTATCTAACCATATTTTCAATGTTTACTGTTTCTCACTGCTATTCACTCCTTTATCGTTTTGTGGTGATTTAGTGGAGCAATATGGGTTAATATGTTTTTACACTGTGTTCTACGTTGTTTATGACTAACGACACAGAGACTTTTATCACTACCCTTGTGTGAAGAATCACACTGGTTACGCATCGAGTACCTACTTCACTACCGCACATTCAATCAAAAGCTAAAGAATGACATCACTAATGGTATCTGCTATATCCTGCAAATATAACACGTGATGAGTTCACCAATTAGACACCGACTTATACGATCAGACCAATGATGCACAAACTAGTACGAGCAGCCTAAAGTTCCTATTGGTCCTCCGAGATAGTAGCTTCTCTCCCGACCCAGCCGGTTCAGACCAGGACGCCAATATCAGCCCCCGCTATTCATTTATTCATTCATTACGCCTGTTACTCCTAATGGAGCATAGGCCGCCGACCAGCACTCTCCAACTCACTCTGTCCTGGGCCTTCTTTTCTAGTTCCATCCAATTCTTGTTCATTTTTCTCATGTCTATCTCCATTTCCCGGCGTAATGTGTTCTTTGGTCTTCCACTTTTCCTTTGACCTTGAGGATTTCATGTGAGGGCTTGTCTTGTGACGCAGTTCGGTGCTTTCTTCAGTGTGTGTCCTATCCACTTCCAGCGCTTCTTCCTGATTTTTTCCTCCACTGTGATCTGATTTGTTCTCTCCCATAGTAAGTTGTTGCTAATAGTGTCTGGCCAACGGATCCGAAGTATTTTGCTTAGTCAACTGTTAATAAACACTTGTATCTTCTGGATTATGGCTTTTGTAGTTCTCCAGGTTTCCACCCCACACAATAGACCTGTCTTGACATTTGTATTAAAAATGCTGGCTTTGGTGTTGGTTGAGAGTTGTTTTGAGTTCCAGATGTTCTTCAGTTGTAGATATGCTGCTCTTGCTTTGCCGATCCGTGCCTTCACATCTGCATCAGATCCACCGTGTTCATCGACGATGCTGCCCAAATATGTAAAGGTTTGTACATCTTCCAGCCTCCACTATACGAATCATATATTTTTAACATACTGGGTTTATGTAGAAACAAACCAAACCGCGTTATGCCATAGAATAGAAAATAACAATCATTCAAGATCAAGCCAAAAAGTGACTGTGACAGACTGTTTCTAATAAATTGGAAATATCTTAAGTATAGTAAATCATATAATAATAGTCAATGGTTCAAATAAAACGCATAATAAAAAGAATATGAATACACATATGATACGGTTACTCAATAGTTATAGATCCTATCCATTACCGTTCACTTATTCCTTGTCCGGATATAACAGTATCACTAATAGGTGTTTCAACCAAAAGGTTACAAATTCCCTTAGTCCTCCAGTTACCTTTGTTCTATAATCAGTTAAATTCACCAACCTACAGACATAAAATCAATATAAAATCCTCGTATACAATTGTATCCATTCTTATTGAAATATATTTCGTTTTCTTTGCTCCGCCTCATAGTTTAATTTAATCTTAATTATTTGAAAGCAAACCCCTAAACTAATAAAAACCTTTTGTTGTTTATATATATTTTTTCGGCAATGCGTTTCTAACATTTGTTTTCTTGTTTTTACTAATTAATTTCAGATGCTAAAAACATGGCAAGCTCTTATAAATGAGTCAATATTGTGTCCCTTAACTTTTTATGAATGGGATGTCTTGTCTCATGCATATCCCCATCGTTTTAAGGAAAACGAAATACCTTTGGATCATGATGGACCTGAAACAAAAATAACCTTCTATCCAACGATGTATTTAATTCCACAGAATAATTCTGAACTGAAGTGGAGATTGGAACCATCATCCTATGGCACTTTATGCCCAAATTGTCAATCTGAAATAATCACTGATCAGATTTTTAATAATGCTAGAATCCGTATACGTCTGGTATCTGGATTTGATGAAGCATTGAGTAGTTGCGTCCAGTCAAAACTCACCTCTGTTCAGGATTCCTTGAATTGTGTGCCACAGGATTTTCAAGCTGAGACAGAAATTTGTGCTCAACCAACAACTGATATCATAATTCCGAACAATTCTGATCAGGTTGGTGCAACACAGACACGGGTTTTGACAGTCGATCCAAAATTAGTATTTGCACCGTATGTCAGACTTCCAAGCACAATACTCGAATGCTTTATGGTAGGTATGCGGCATGGGGATAAGGAGCCGTAAAATTTTACTTTACAAAAAGGAACCCCATGTTTTGTCAACATTAGTGTCGTAAATCCTAAGGAAGCAAACTTCAACTTGGTTAGTTTACGTGCTCTCCATGCCAACTAACCATTAATATCGTGTTTAATAAGTCTCCGTACGCGCTATTACAAGCAAACTGCGTTGGTTTAGCAATAATCGTGTTTATAACTAATTTAATAATCTTAGGTTTTTCCTAAATAAACTTGTAAATATTTTGTGTCGCATGTAATTCAGTGCCCGATTATGATTTTTTTCGACTATAGTCATCCATTATAAATGATACCTTGTTCGATAACAACTGTTTTCTTTTATGTTTATAATACTATTCTGGTTATAAGTAAAACTTTCTTAAAATACATTAAATATTCTAACTCTTGAGAGGAAAATCAAAATATGCGTTAACAATGAATTTAACAGCTTCCAACTTTTTTACATTTCAATTCTTTTAACGCAATGAGATGAATCTTATTTAAACTATATAATGTATCACCACAGTTTATTTCCAACAATCTAATCACACAGTAACTTGTAGAGATATTTATGTATGAGAAATAAAAGGTCAAACCAGACAAACTGGAAGATAAAAGAAAAAGAAAATGGGGAACAAAACAATATGAACCACAGCACTCTAAAAAAATCAATTAATTGACTGCTTTGCCAGATAACTGCGTATAAGCCATACTGTACGTGTTAGGACCAATAATACTACTTGGTTGCCCTAACCGACGTAGGAAGTGCGGGATTCGGATCTGGGACTTAAGGGTTGAAAATCATACACTATACCTACCAACCCACCGCTCCACGCCATTCTGGATAACAAAACAATACTACAAGGATAGGTTTGGTGTGAATATAAGTTGCCTTTGGACATTGAGGGGAGTTGAGAATTTTTATATGTCCTTTACAAGTCAATATGTGATCGAATTGTTTGAAGTGCATTACTTTAATACACTACATTTTTCTGGTAAACTTAGTCTTCTCATTAGTAATTATCTAAATTTACGGAAGGAACGAAGTTTTTCAAGTTCACGTAACATTTTGACTTTCTCTTGTACTTCTTATTGTTTTTTTTAATCCTTTGTCTTTCCTTAGGAAATGGATAATTTGAGAGAAATAAAAGATTATTTCAATAAACGATGTAATAATTTAGAATTATCCAACTCTATTAGCAAAGATATCACTCCACGCCTTTCATCAAATAATGAAACTAGTCTAATAGACCAATTACCTCCATCATCTAATCATCATCAGCATCAACATGTGCTCTATGATAATACAAATAATCAATTATCTAATCATCATTTGGAGTCTTCATGTACAAATTATATTAGACGTTCTACACGTCAACGTTTGAATCCTAAAGATTTATTGATCAAAGTGAATAGTAGTGATACACTTCTTAATGTGAAAGTACAAATAATGCAAATTTTAGGTGTTATCCCTTCCGATCAACATATTATGTCAAATGTAAGGTTATAATTATTATTTGATAAATTATTTTATCACAATTGAAATAATGTTTCCATAGTGTGTGGGTTTTTTTTGGAGGAGAAAAAATGCCATAATATGGTTTATTCTCGTTCATTTATAATTCTTATTCATTTATGGATTTTTATTTCAAATGGATAAAATATTCTGAACGTGTATGTAAATTTTATTGTGATCAGTCATTAGTATTCACTTCTCAATCATCTAATATACATGAGTCAATTGAAGCTAGACCACCATGGAAATATTTACTGCTGCTACTACTATCGCTAGGATTTTCACACTAGGAAATCATACGAGATGGTGATAGGATTTTATTATTATGTTTCAAGGGAGCAAAGGAATTCTCCACAACTCCATTCATCATTCGATTTGATTCTTTATGATTATTAGTGGTCTAGCTTCTATTGACTCATGAATTCAATTATTAAATTACTGCAATCTCCACAAAACCCTTCTCTGATTATTTATTTATTTTAACACATAGATATTGGTACAAGGAGGCACCAAATACATATGCGTCACACAAATCTCATTTGATTTGTGTGAGGGCTGTGATACTGCCCGGGTGCCCAGACCTAAGCAGGTGGTTCTCTTAGGGGGCCACACCCCGAGCCTCCGACCTGAAGATCTGATCCACAAGGCAGTGGGGCATCGTGAGGAGATGCAGTCCCATGGTAGCCGGTGACCAACGATTGGTTCATACGCCATTTGTTCCTTCAGGATACTGGAGCCAATGTGCACCGTTTGTTTGGGATCCGGTTAAAGCGCCTGACATTCACTTTTCGTCCTCTCATTTTCGTAAACAACACCCCCGCCACGAGAAGGCAGTTAGTGGGATTTCCTTGGCAGAGGTTGTACACGCGTGGCCATGTGAGAGCATTTGAAGAGGGAGAGCGGACTCACCCCACTCTCAGCCGTACCAGGACATTTGAGGGCCCATCTAATGTAATTTATGATTGATACAATTTAAGTTACCTAACTGGTTATTATCAATATCCTTCATGCTCTAAATATTAGCTTAAAGCGCAATATATAGAATCCTATTTGATGATTAAGTAACAGTTGGAATTATTTTCGGGTATTAATGGATTTTATAAAAGTATATAGTCTATATAGATTTTTATCTGATAAATTGTATGTGTCTTCGAACCAATTTAGTAGATAATTCAAGTTATCATCGTCATACGAACAAAAATAGGGAGGATAAACTGTTAAGATATCCTTTAGTTATTGTTCGTTACTAAATAATGATATTTAAATAATTTTAGCCCCTTGACAGTATATCATGTGGCCATAATAGAGGATACAATATGTATCATCATATCTTAGTATTCTACACAAGATTTATCCATTACATGGATTGCTTTTTTCTATCTCTGTGTAGATATCACATTTTTCCGTCTAATATCCTGGGTTTTTCCAGGTTCTTTTTCGTGTCTAATAATTGCCTTATTTAAATCTCTCAGTGAGTTTGTGAAATCTTAACAGGTGACTTATTGTAACTACATCTAAATCTATATATGCGACAAATTATGTAAAGCTGTTAAGGTCCTGTGTTTTATGAATATCGCTAATTATTTTCCAGGGTCTAGAATTTACTGACCATACGAAAACATTACAAGAGTTAGGTATTTGTTCGAAGACTATCCTCTATTTATGGTCAGATGATCCAACATGGGATCCTAATCGAACAAGTTTTGATAATGGTACATTCAAGTTAACGACACAAAAGTTGAAATCAAATAGTCCATGTAAATCAACCTCCGGTAAGTTTTTTTCCAAAAAGCTTCTACTATTCATGTCATCCTATGGTTTTAATTTTTTCTCGACATTCATATGATTAGTCTTTATGTTACCGAATTCTCAATCTTAACTTTCACCAAAATCTTATACAAAGTATCCTGCTTAGAATATAACAATAAAATGTCTAATAGTTTATCGATCAGTATTAAGTTTTAAAATTTAAGTTTTATGTAAATAATAGTCATTTGATATGAATTCATTGTTTAGTGGACATGACATTATAAATTAATATTAGAAGGGGGTTTTGTGGATATTATAGTAATAATTTCAATAGTTGGGATCATGAATCAATTGAAGCGAGACTCATGATCTCAACTATTGAAGTTACTACAATCTCCACAAAACCCATTTTGATACTAATCAACACATGCTCACTAGTGAATGGCTTCAGTTGTGAGATAGGAACTCACTGATGACAATGGTGAATGTGTCGCTCGATTTCGTGGATTAGTTAGAGTTACAAATTAACACCGTTAGATGCCGGCTGTGGTCAAGCGCTCGCGCGCGAGACTGATAGCTCCTGGGTTCGAATCCCAGGATCGTGGACGCGCACTACTGAGGAGTTACATGATAGGACGAAACGGCCATCTAATGCTTCCAGGTTTTTCATGGTAGTCTAACTGCAACTGATTTATGATCTGAACTATTGAAATAGTAATATCATTGTAAGAAAAACATTTGGTGAGACTATAATTTATGGACGACCGTTGAGCGACGCTAGACTGAATTTGAGAATGTCCACCTAATAACTAGGACCAAATGAGGGTTATAAACCTGTGTGAGGGGTCAGAATTATGATTTACGGTTGATGGTTAAGGTTAGAAATTAGATTTAGGATTTTCATCACGAACTGACACTAGCTATAATCCCAAAACTCTTTTATCCAAATGGATTAGTGAATTTCGCGCCAAAAATCCGAGACCTATTATCTTATACGTGATTGGTTCGTCTCGCCAAACCTTTTTTATTACATGCCTAAGTCAATAAAGTTTAATTCAAATCAATTGGAAATAACATATTTAACATAATAGTCAATGATTATTATTGTTTGTATGTTAAAGATGAAATCATAAAAAGAAAAGGGTATGACATATTGTAAATAATAATAGAGACAATGAATAAACATACATCGTTAATAAATGAGCACTAATCAGAGCATCTAGTTAGTTAACATTAAATGCAAATTTTAACGTCATGCATAAATGTCAGTGGAAATTATCTAATTGGAATTCTTTATAAATATATTTCAAATACTACATAACATACGTCATTTTCATTTCAGAATCAATTCATACAGAATCAGGATTCAAAGGAACACGACTACTTGAATTTTAACCGGATATCGTTTTTCTATTACTTCAGTCTTTTCTGTACTCTAATTAACCACTATTTTTCTGTAGTTGTCCTGCATTTTTTATCTTCCAGACCCAATCATTATATATATATATATATATATATATATATTTCTTGTCTGCTACTAACTAATGTTTTATGTCCTGAATGACAAAGATGCATGGCATGAATAATTTTGTAAATCTATGACATAATAATAACAGCAACCTATGACTAACCAAGCATTTTTGCATGTTTACTTTTATTTTCAAAATTTTTAGCAAAAATTTGAATCTGTAAACTTATATTTGTATATATTCACTGTATACTTTGAATCGTATAATTTAACTCTGGTTTCGATTAGACGAAAAAGCATAATTATGTTTAGTTAATTCATTAATAATGATTAGTTAGTCAAATAAACAGTGGAATCAAGACTTATAGTTGTTTAAATTTCTTGAATCACATTCTATCGAGTACACTTTAATATATACTTAGTTACTTACACCTGTTACCCCTTGTGGAGGGGCATAGGCCGCCCACCAGTATACTCTGTCCTTGGCAGTTGTTCCCAGTTGCTATACCTTCTTTTCATGTCTTCTTCAATCTCCGACACAGTGTGTTCTTTGGTCTTCCACTTTTCCGTTTCCCTTTAAGATTCCAAGTTAGCGCTTACCTCGTGATGCAGTTTGATGATTTCCTCAATGTATGTCCTACTCACCTCCAGCATCATTTCCTAATTTACTCTTTAACTGGAAACCGGTTGTTCTCTCACACAGTAGGTTGCTGCTGATGGTATCTGACCAACAGACATTGAGTATCTTGAGTAGACAATTGTTATAATTATTTGTACTTTTTGATGATGGTTGTGATAGTTTTCCAAGTTTCATTTCGGTATAGTAGATCTGTCTTGACGTTCGTACTGAGAATTCTGACTGATATTAATTGGCAGATGTCTCGAAGCCCATATATACTTCAACTGTAGGTTCTTATATACTTAATCGTTGGTATTTCGACTGTCCTGTATGATTATTGTTGTATGGTGTTTGTGGATTACATAAGAAGCAACACTACGGAATAGGATGTTATCGAGAATCGTTGACATTCTCAACTACCATTTTCCTTCAATGTAATTGCAAAGACCATAATTTTAAGTCATTTGGTACCTATTTATTATGTACATATTATATGGATTATGTTGGTAATAATTAGTAAGCTACTATATCATTGTTATTTCACCTTGATACTAAATTGTGTTAGTTTAGTGGGGAGTCTGTTTATTAACGATTTCTCAGACAAACAAATCTTAACTTGCCACAATTATTTATTGCATTAACACGGGAAGCGTAAGTGAATAAAATGAAGAGGAAATAATGGTATGATTGACAGTAGGAAAATGTATATAATGCAAAATGAATCAATTGGTAGTATGAAAAATGCATCCCCAACACGACTCAGACTAACAGTCACTCATTTTGTTTCTTTTAGAGAAATCTCTAATTAATCTTCACATCAGAGTTTCAATTGAGCCATCAGAAACTGAAAGTTTCAATTATAAAATACAAAAAGTTCTTTTTTAACAACTAGACAGGGTTTGCACTAAACTTTATATTTCGTTAGGAAAATTTATTTATTATTATTTATTTTTATTTGAACACATAAATATTGGTACAGAGGGGCACCAAATATATATGCGCCACACAAAACAATGATAATTTGAAGAGAAGGAGGAAAGAGAAAAAAAAAAGGTAATGAACGTGGGGAATTATAAATAAATAAAAAGAGAGAGAGAGAACAATGATGGGGGAAACGGAAAGGTACAATCATAAGAAATCTTTCAGTTAAGGAAGATACAACCACTTTTTATGAAGAAAGTAAAAGAAGGTTACAGCACGATCGCCACTGGCTTCTAATCTGAGCCATATCTGATAACGTCTCTAGCCACTGCGTTACACCGTCTCTCGGACCCCAACCAGGGAATCGTGAATGACCAACAGAAGCTAGCCCTTTGCAGCTTTCTTTCATGCCACGACACCATGTCATATACTGACCACCTCTCCGCTTTTTCCAACCAGTCCCAGAGTCGGCAAATAATGCACGACGAGGAATTCTCTGGGACGACATTCGTAGAACATGTCCAAGCCACCGAAGTCGGTGTTTCAAGATGGTGACACCAATTTCATTATCGTTTCTGTGACCGAACACTCGATGCCGAACCTCTGCATTACTGACATGGTGTTGCCACTGGATGCCAGCAATCCTTCGGAGACAACGATGATCGAACACAGAGAGTCGTCTAACATCCTCAACTCGGAGAGGTCAGGTTTCACAAGCATAGAGCAAAACTGCTCTCACCTTCGCGTTGTAGATCCGACCTTTTACAGCCAGACTAACATCACGAAGGCGCCAAAGGTGGCCCAGATTGGCATAAGCCGCTCTGGCTTTCACTATACGAGCATTGGTCTCATCACTCACACCACCACCAGCACTTATGCAGCTACCTAGATACACGAACTTCTCGACTACTTCAATCTGCTCACCATCCAGAGTGAGTACAGGATTAGAATCCTGCCAGTCTTGTAGAAGTACTTTGCACTTCGAAGGTGCAAAGCACATACCATACCTACGGACATTGATTGCCAACTGATTAAGTGCGGATTGCATAGCTTGGGCATTCTCGCACAGTAAGACAATATCATCCGCATACTCAAGGTCGAGAAGTCTTTCTCCAGGCAACAGATCCACACCACCATTACTTACATCCATCAGAGCTGTTTCCAGAATGTCATCGATGGCAAAGTTGAAGAGGAATGGTGAGATTGGGCAACCCTGCCTAACCCCACTGCTCGAATGGAATAACGGAGAAAGGTGGTTGTATGCCCTCACTCTGCCTGAGGTGTTTGTGTATAGGGCTTTTAGGATGTTAATAAACTTCTCAGGCACACCCTTCTTCAATAGACAATCCCAGAGAACAGTTCTGTCCAACGAATCGAAGGCAGCCCTGATATCAAGAAACACTACGATTGTTGGCCTTTGATAAGTATGGCGGTGTTCTAACACTTGGCGGAGGGTGAAGATATGATCAATACATCCTCGACCAGAACGAAACCCAGCCTGCTCCTCGCGAGTCAATCCTTCTCGGGTCCTGAACAACCTACGAAGTATGACGGAAGCCAATAGCTTGGACGCAATCGGAAGTAGACTTATCCCCCGATAGTTGTTACAGGAACAACGTGAACCCTTTTTAAAGATAGGGACAACTATCGACTCATTCCATGACGTTTGTACACTCTCTAGTTCCCAGATCTTTGTAAACAACGTCGTCAGTCCCTTAGTCAAAAAGTCACCACCATCTTTAAAAAGAGCAGGAGGTAAGTCGTCTGGGCCCGGTGATTTGTAACGTTTCAAGAGTTGGAGTTCCTTACGGACTTCCGCCTCATTTGGTGGATCAGTCGTCACCGGCCATGGAGGGCAGGACAGTCTGACCGATGTTGCCGGAGCAGCAGGCCAGTTGAACTGCCCTTCAAAGAATTCTGCCCATCGTCCAAGACGTCGATGGATGTTAGTGATTGGCGTTCCGTCATCCTCGCAGATTGTTTCGCTCACACCAGACTTCTTGCTGCCGGTGGCTTGGATGAGTTGGAAGAGCTTCCGGTAATTACCAGATGCAGCTGCTGCTTCCAACTCACTGGCACGCTCCGACCACCAGGTTTCTCGGTCCTTACGCAAGCTTTGCCCGATTTCATTACGTAACAGCCTTCGTTTGTGATCAAACTCACGGTCACCCGGAGTAGACCGACGGGCTTCAACGAGTTGTAAGGAGCCTGAAGAAACCCAGTGATTGTAAGCGGGACGTTTCGCGAAGCTGCAAGCGGCCTTACTCGCCATTTTCATGGCGTTATGCAGACGAGACCGATGCTCATCTATACTTTTCGGTCGAATGGTAGCTAGCCTAGAAACTAGCTCGGTTCGATACATACTAGCAACAGAAGTTGCAGCCAGCTTGCTAACATCAATCCTTTGGTGACGGTCACTTCGTTGTCCACTGAAAAGTAAGGTAAGATTGGCGCAGACCAGAGCATGATCAAATTCCAGATAGGTACTCCAAAAGGAGCGGCAGTCTTGTACACAACCGCGCCAGCGGTAGCTGATCGCGATGTGATCAATCTGAGTCCAGGCTTGAGATGCAGAAGGAGGACGCCAGGTGGCACATCGGCGATGACCGTGCCGAAAGTTAGTGCTAGCCAGAAACAGGTTGTGGTCTGTGCACAGTTGCAGTAGACGTTCCCCGTTATCTGTCCTGCGACCAACAAGTCCCCATCGGCCACCTAAACGGCTCTCTTCTGTGCCTAGACGCCCGACCTGAGCATTCAAGTCTCCGGCTAGTACTACAATATCTGTCGAACGCACTTTCTGGAGAAGAACAGTTAGCTGATGGTAGAACTCGTCCTTGATTGCATCCGGGCTGCAATCTGTCGGGGCATAGGCGGAGATGACGAAAAGACATCGTTTCTCACGCCGATTTCTTTTCACTTTGATGGAACTTTCTAATCTAACAGCACATAACCGACTGTTAATGGGGATCCAGTCGACTAGTGCTGCCTCAGCTCTTGCGCTTAGTTCGACACCAACGCCAGCAAGACCAGACGAAGATGCCACAGGGTCCCCGGATAAACGCACATAAAACAAGCTTTTTGAAGTGACAGATGGAGAGCGAACTTGTAGTACTTCACCAGAGTCTTGAATACGGGTCTCGGATAGACAACACACATCAATATTAAGACTTTCCAAAGACATAGCCAGTCCTATCTGTTGTCCGACCTGCATAAGTGTGCGAACGTTGAAGGTAGCCAGTTTGAATGGTGCACGCGGTTTCAGAAAAACTGCTTCAGTACTCATGTTCGGTAGTAACATACAATTTTCAACCAGGCAGTGACTCGAGTACGTTTAGATAAAGCTGAATTTTCACCATAGGTGAGCTGCTGTCTAGGTCGAAACGCATATATAAAGTAGGAATAAGAGAGGGTGAATAAATGACGTGGTAGAGTAATAATAATAATAATAATAATAATAATAATAATAATAATAATAGTAATAATAATAACAATAATAATAATAGTACGAGTTATTTCAATGTTAATCAGATAGAAAGGAATATTTTCCATAAGCAAATTGTTCATCATAGTTTTAGTGAGTGGGCTGGGATACTGCCCGGGTGCCCAGACCGAAGCAGGTGGTTTTCTTAGGGGGCCACACCCCGAGCTTTTGACCTAAAGGTCTAGTCCACAAGGCAGTGGAGCATCGTGAGGAGATGCAGTCCCATGGAAGCCGGTGACCAACGATTGGTTCATACGCCATTTGTTCCCGCAGGATACTGGAGCCCATGTGCACCATTGGTTTGGGATCCGGTTATAGCGCCGGACATTCGCTTTTCGTTCTCTCATTTTCGTAAACAACACCCCCGCCACGAGAAGGCAGTGAGTAGGACTTCCCTGGCAGAGGCTGTATACGCGTGGCCGTGTGAGAGTATTTCGAGAGGGAGGGCGAACCCTCCCCGCTCTCGGCCATACCAGGGCATTTGGGGGAAAATAGAACGTTAGAAACAACATAGATCTGGATGTACAAAGCATTTTTCTGTTCCTGATAGATTACAAAACTCTTTAGGTTACTTTACACATAAGCCATCGAGTTAGTGGGTTTTTGACATACTATCATTTATCACGAGTTAAGAGGTAAATCGGATCGAAGTTTCCGAATATCCGCTTTACTAATACTGAAAGATCACGGGCTTTATTTCAGAAAGTAACCAACCTAAAATTAACCGTGCTGTTTCTGATAAACTGCAAAACATTCTGACACTTGCGAAATTCTCGTTCATAACTTAAAAATCAAGTTGTTGGGTTTTAATTATTTTCTAAAGTTCTTTACGTTTAGTGGTCTGTTGTGAAAGATTGAGTGCAAAAATGCTGTTAAATTTAGGTATACACAAGAACCCAAAAATATGGTGTCCATAATGTGTTCCGGCACAGATAAATTTGGTAATTGCTGGGAGTTGTTCCAGAACATTTGACACACCAGTAGTCAAAAGCCTGGTATCAGTAAGATAATGGCCCACAAAATCAGTTCCTAATGATTTTGCGTGGAGCTACTTAAGAGGCACATTATCTGGCTCATTTTTACAGCAACTTTAATGAAATTGCCCTATCTCAAGTGACTGATGAGCGGCTCATCGAAGCCTGGTTTAAGAAGTTTACAGTATACCAAAGATCGTACATTTTGTCTGTGGCTCTTCATAGTTGGAATCAGAATTCTGGTCAAGGTACCTAATTTAAAGTGAATGAGATCACTGGAGACTGCAACTATGAAGGAAGTTATTGACACTTCTCATGCGTAAATGCTTAGCCTAGAAATACGTGTGAATGAAACTTCGTAAACAATTGATATAGTATGTTTAGAGCTATTGTGTGTGTGGACGACTACCAAAGCAAACAAGAATATAGAAATGAAACAAAACAGTCGAACGCTAGGCGTTGGACTGTTAAGCTACAGCATCAATATATATAGTAATGAGTTAGTTAAACATTTTCAATAAAAACGGAGTAATATCTGAAATTGTGGTGCAATTTTGGACGCTCAACAAATTTACAGATATGATCTCTTAAACACAAATGAGCAGCACTTTGGCTCATAAATTTTTAAGTTTTTAATAATATAATGTTATAGACTCGCATGCTTAATTTCTAGTTCCCGATTTGACGGATATAAAACATATCTAGATTTCGTAACCATTAATTTGTTTTATATTTTGCACAAGTTAGTTCTTGTGCCAATATAGGAAGTATTCTGAGAAGAGTGACTAGAGAAATATTTCCATATTTAAAATGGTGCTTGGAACTAGAAGATAACAAGATGAACGGTATAATTCAAATGAAAACATTTTTGTGAACCACTTTGATCACGGATATAAAAAACTGCATAATAAACAGTTTAACTATATTGTGTAAATGAATTAAATCGAGTGGAGTGATTATATACCTACAACAACACTGAACACAATGACTACACGAAAGCAAGCGATCGTCACCTAATGAGCTTTTGTTAAACTGTAAATAAACAACACGAAAATCCTCGACGTATTCTTGGGGTCCTTTGAACTTGTATTTATTTGAACACATAAATATTGGTACAAAGGGGCACCAGATACATATGCGTGGGTGACTCTGAAATTTATCGGTATCACAATTAAGTACCCACATACTGGAAGTTCAATGCAAAATGTCTGTCATTGGAATAATAAAACCTATTCATAAAAAACGAACCTGTGGACTTAAATCTGAGCCACACTTTGCGTGGGAACTAGTGATACTCCTCAGCTGCCTGAACCAAAGTAGGTTGAGCGGGTCTTGAATCTCAGACTAAGAAACTGAAAGTCCTTGATAAATCATTAAGACACATCTCGGAATAGGGAAAAAGCCAATTACCAGTCAGCTGCATACAGTAATTCAATGATTAATTGCTTATGGCTTTGAACCTTAGAATTCTTAGATCACAAATGCTAGTGGCTATATTACAAGCGAGCTGCACGACCTAAAATGCCATGTGTAGTTGTTACCAACTTACACCACCTGTATTTGTATACTGGGTATAAGTTGTTTTCAAGATACACTAAAGTTATGGGGTATGGTCACTGAAAGAAGATAAGTAGTGTATTCGATCATGTGCTTTCGAATCACTAGACGCTTTTAGTAATGATAGCCAGGTTAAGGTTATTTCGTTAATAGTGTGCTCTGTAAAATTGGAAAATCATCTAATAAATGTTGCAACTTTAGAGAATAGCGATGGGTAGCACAGTAGGTTTATCAACGCTAAAGTTGCTCAAACCATGAAACATAACCCGTTTCAGGAACCACTTCTATATGCTAAGGGTTTAGCACGGGAGCAATTATTGATAGCTGAAGGCTTCACATGACTAGAAAATTTTTGGAGCGATAAGACTGCATTCGTCCTTTTTATGTATGACATAAATAGTGTCCAGTTCATTCTCTAACTTCAAGTAAGTACTTATTATTGGATTATTCATACTTCCTATTAGGTTTTCACTTGTTTCATCCAGTTTCCCGATTCTAACATTATTACTACTTTGATGCCTTTTATTTTGATTTCCTTCAACTGTGTTTGTGTGATGTATGATAACTTAGACTGACCTTGTTATTGTTATATGAACTTTCCATTCACATTCGTAGCCATCAATAAGTTATTGGTAAATTTTCGCTCGGTCGTCTCAATTCTCTTCAAGGGTAATCTAAGCGAAAATTTTCTTTAAAGCCAGATGAACACTACATATGTATTGGTTTGATAACGTTGAAACGTAAACACAAAGTAGGATTATGAGACATTTTACTAACATTATTTAAGTCCGCCAAACAAAGTCGTAAATAACAATCAAATATATTAGAAAGCGAAACGACAATTCATGAAAAAAGTGAGGCTGAAAATTTATAATTACTAGAATAAAAACATAGACAGACCAGCGATGAACACTTCATAAGTTACGTTTGGTCAACTTTATTAACTGTGAATTTTGATGCTCCAAATACTTCCGAACAAAACTAAAATCTCTAACTGGTAATAAACTCAAATTTACGGCTTATTAATCTGAATCGTCGAGTTCTAAACAACAAACTATAGTTCTTATCACACGATATTTAGTCACTTGTCTTCATCCAAAGCTCCTCATACGAATATGTGGTTGGTCACCGATTTGCACCGTCATATATTAGGCTACTTAAACGTGACAATCTTATTACAATCAAATGTTGAGGGGACTCCACAAACTGTGAGAACCTAGCTTAGTACAAAAATAATTATACCATATGGCTGTCATTTGTGTGAATTAATAAGCATATGCAGCGATAATCCGGGGGGCAAACTGTTTTATTATATCATCTACACAATGCAAACGCACTTAATTGGTGAATGTGAGTCTGAAAAATATAATAAGGAGACCTTAGACATAACTTGATGAAACTGGCCGAAAAGAAAAAAAGAAGACGGTGAATAAATATAAACATTACACCTAGACATACTGGTTTTGCTGAAAGCTTATTCATAAGTACAAATGAGAAACCGGTAGTATAACTAGATCACTAAAATGACCGCTCTCGGATGATAATAAAGCTGTCCAAACTGTACCATCACCAAATTTTGAGGTCGACAATATTAACGAACATACCATAATAAAGCTTGTCACGTTAGTTACGGACTACCAACATGTACCTAGTTACGATAAATATTAGATTATAGGTAACAAGTCTTGAAGTAGGCAATATCAGTGACCAGTGGACTGTACTGAATGAAATACTCTACCAACCCAAAAGATACGAACTAAGCGATTACCTTCATGAAACCTGCACTTTGATAGTATATGAAGTTGAACAAAAAAGGGAGTGGACAAGATGCTGTTGGTGTATTTATTAACAGTGTAAATAAATAATGTATTTACAATAGAGTGAGAGTTTAATCGGATTCTGAGTCAGATTCTCTAGCTTCTGTAGCTGATAAGGACCTTTCGAGCACGTAAGCAGTTTGAGGATGAATACGGCGGTAGTAATCACTAACTTCTCCAGTTATTTCAAAACCGAAACGTTTGTAGAACGCTACTGCGCCTTCATTATCAACATGAACATGCAGATAAATACTTTTAATACCACCGTGCTTTAAACAGCTCTTAATGACATGTTTTAACATAAGCGTACCAACACCATAGCCTCTGTATGGTGCAAGACATCCCAAAGTCATAATATAACACTTCTTGACGGTTTGATTAGCTTGACCGTTATTATCATCCGTAGCCATATCGACATTCTTCACAACATTCTCTATCCGATAACTAACAGCTCCGACGACGATATCATTAAAGTAAGCAAGTCTGCACATCTTACTATTTTTTAGAACATCACTATAAAATTTCTCTGTGTATGTGACTGGGAATACAGTTTGATTTATCAATCTGAATTGTTTGATGTTATGAGGAGTAAGCTGTCCGAGCTCGATCTTCTTGTATATTTTGCTCCCATTAGTACTCCTACCTTTTTGTTCGACTGTACCACTTTGTTCTGAATGTACGGCAAGCATTGCTGGCAATGTCCTAAGTGTTGTGATTATGTTCAACTTAGGCGCGAATTAACTTCAAACCTCAAACTTTGTCCTACAGAATTGGTGAATTATTTATTCCTTCGGACTTGCGTCTGTCTTGTAGAACAGCTTTGGTGTTAATAAAAAGATACGGCTGTGGTCGTACCACCCATGGAACCAAAAAGCAAAATAATCAAGTTTGTCTTGGAAATGGTTGTGAAATTATACTTAATGTCATTACCTCATTATGTACTTAACTAAGCAAATCAACAACTCCTACTTTCGAAGTCTCTGAGGAATGACTGAGCCTTATGATGTTTTTTGTTTTTGTAAGCTGGGTCAACTTAGAAATAGAGTCATCGACAACGTCGTTGGATTGCGAACTGTTAGAAACCTCAATTACTCCAACTTCATTCCAGTTCATTAGGGATCCCACCAGATGCGACTTACGAAGCTCTTCGTTTCTCTTGGACTCAGTCTTCACACACGGTGGTGACGTCGGTCAAATAACTTTTCTACCACTCTCGTTCGTATAATACGAGATAAAAGTGCAGCATTGGATTCCCAACCCAATTAATGAAGGGAGTGAATCTCAAAAGATAGAGGATGATCATGAAAAAGCAGAGGCTATAGCAAAATATTTCGGGGCATTTTTCACATAGGAGCCTCTACTTGACGAAGAACTACACCGAAATACAAAGTCAACAAATCGTCTGCTCCCCGTGGACTGTGGTCAAGACGATGTACTTAATTCTTTTCGCATCATAGACACGGAAAAGTCAGCTGGATCGGATGTACTATACCCCGAAATCCTGAGACAAATTGAGCAATATATTACAGCCACACTAACCGCGATATACAATATGTTGCTAGACTAAGGTGTGTTACCTGTGGACTGGAAGGGTGCAGTCTTCACTCTCATACATAAAACAGGACCAAGGAAACTTCAATCGAACTACAAACCTGTCAGCCCTACCAGTGTCATAGTTAGACTACTGGAAAAAATAATCCGAAAGATTATTATGACACTTGTGGAAACCAACAACTTGTTAAACAACGAACAACATGGTTTCGGAAAACGTTTATCTTGCACAACAAACCTTATAGCAACGGATAAAGAATCTAGATAACAAAAAATCAGTGAATAATATCTACATATACTTCAACAAACATTTTACAAAGTACCAAGGTACAAGGTACCTCTACTAAAATGCCCTAAGTATTTCCCAGTAGGTCGTAAACAGAAAGTAAGAGTAAATTCCAAGCGCTTCACTTGGGGACTAATATATGGTTAAATACAGCAAAGTTATGCCCTAGGTCCCTTATAATTTATGCTGTATACAAATGAACACCTATGTGCAGTAAAGTCCTCAATATTGTTGTAGGCTGACGTAGAAATTTGGCGAGGAATAACGGGAAACCTAGGTAAATGCGCACTTCAGGCAGACTTAAATATTGTGATTAGCTGGTCTAAAGAGTGGCAGATGCCTATCAATGCGGCAAAGAGTGATTTAATCCATTTTGGCGATACAAAGGCAACTAGGTACAACATGAGGGAAGTGCCAAAACCCGTGGTACGATCTCACAAGGATCTTAGGGTGACAGTGAGTCACGAATTTAAGACTACGGCCCATTGCCATAAGGTCGCAGCTAAGGGGTTTAGAACCTTATAGGCTTTAAGAAGGAAATTCACCAAGTTAGATACTACCGTGTTAACAACCTTATTGAGAGCTAAGCCTGAGAACTGCGTTCGGGCTTTAAGCCCCTGTCCAAAAGATGAATCGGTAATCCTGAGAAAACTATAGAGGGCAGCTACACGTGCGATTCCAGGACCATGGGATTTACCATACAAAGAGCGGCTCGAAAATCTAGACTCTTTACTGTGTCCTGTCTCAGACTAATAGGTGACCTAGTTTCGATGTATGGAACACTAAGAAATGATTTCGGACATTATATATCCTTTCTTATTCTTTTCACTAGATCAAGACATCTCAGAGTAGATAGCAGGCGCGTAGAAAAGCCAAGAACGAACAAAATACTCGTGAAATACAAATTTTCACAACGATTCATAAATACTTGGAACCGTTACCCGAAGCAATGGTGCATGCGCTCTCAACTGATTCATTCAAGAGAAGACTAGATACTCACAGAAGCATACTAGAAAAAGAATAAGATAGGCTTTCTTCCTTACTACACAAATTTAAATCTGAAATCTATAATTCAATTAGTTGGTGTATGATTTTATGTTGACTAAAAGCCCATCGATAACTAATAGATTGCAGTTTTCAACAACAGATATGAGGACCAACTTTACGTAATTCTTTGGATATATAGACATGGAGTGGTTGTACTTCACCCAGGTATTCTATCTGTTCAAGGTACCCAGATGTTTGATGTTACATGGCCTGATATGGTAAAATTAGGATACTATAAATTATATTGGTCATTATATTTTTCAGGAAACTGGTCTAGGCAGCATAAATTCACCGATATAGTCATAAGATCCCGGTATAATGTGTTTAAATTGTGTCCGAAACCGAAATGCTTATCATGTTAAGCGAAATAGTTATCATTCATAATGGGAAGTTCATGCAGAATCACGGATGTTAAGTACCTCATATCACATTTTTCCGTGATACTTTGTGATCCAGATATCCGAGAGCAGCTTAACTGGAACACAGGGATGAATTAGTTCGAAGTATTGTTCTGAATATAGTCGATGCGTCGAAAACTACATGATGTAAGCCAACTAGTTCTTGTATGGATTGCACAGCATAGTTTACATAATGGTAATGTTTTGAAGATGAGTGACCGATATCCTACATTTAAGGTATGTCCAGTGAAACTAATGGGGTCAGGATCAATATCGAACTTTTACAGAACTATTTGTCATGGGGATTTATTTATCTCTAGACTTCGAAAAATATACGGCCTAAAATCACAGGATTACGGCCACCTGCTTATAACGTAGGGTTTCTAAACAACAAACTTAGAGTGAAAATGCTATAAAAGCTTTATTTAGAAGTCACGCCCCAGCCATTCTGATAAATGAATTTCTTGGATATTATCTTTTGAAACCTGAAAACCAACATCAGTAATTTCTTGCTTGCACGTGAGTGTGAGAGAGCTTTGTATTCATGCGTGCTTCTTTGCACTTCAATTGCCTTCAGTGACTAATAAGGACCCAGGATGGATGGTCCACAATCACTGTGAAGAATTCGCACGTTGGAAGTTTGTCATTATGACCGTATCTTGTGTAACACTTACATAAATTAACTCAGATTCATTTTATCGTCACTATGTATGTAGGATTCATACATAGTGATATTTGGTTATCCTTTGAAATTATTTGAGACTGTCACAGTGTTGCTCCAAACTATTAATGCATAAACGCTTATTCTAATGTCATATCTTACTGCAGTAATAAGTTATTTTTTAATTAATTAATTTCATTTCTGTTGTTCATTTGGATTTAAATACGTATAGAGCTTGAGAAAGTAACATTAGTTGTGAAGAAATTGAAGGCATTGTATATAGATGGATCAAGAATTTTTATTTTTTTCTGAAGTTCTCAAAGGACCACAAACACATTATAACTTTTGATTGTACTTTGTACATTTGACCTTATTAGGCGCTTTTTCGGTCGTTTGGCCTAATGGTAGAGTTTAGCATAGTTGACTATTTTGGTTAACATTATGAAATATGTTTTTCGTAAATAATTTCCAAGTTCTTCTTCATTAGAATAAATAAGTTCGACAGTACTTTTTCAAAGCATAAGGGCGTTTCCGGGTACTTGGGTGGTGATATCTAAAACAGCGTGTTTCTCGGTTATCTTTCTGTACTTGAACTTCTTTTAATTAAAAAAGGAACAAGCGACAATATTAGGGTTATGATAAATACCTTGATTGGCCGGTTCTTCACAATATCAAGTCTCGATGTAATATCATCCTTTGACTACATAAGTTCATTTCTAAACATATTTTTCTGTTAACGTTTCGGATTTCAAACGACAATATTTATTCGAATAAAGTCTAATATAAATCCGGCTCGCATCATCTTATTCTCAATAACTTAATAGGAGTTCAGCAAGTAGTACTCTGCATTCCGTTTCTGTCTAAAATCATAGTTAAGAACGCTCGCGCGATGCTGTTTCAATCATGTTTATCAACAGAATCCTGGTTTTCAAACATCATCTCAGAAAAAATCTCCAGATGAGCTATTATTCAGCAATTATCAAAGTGTAGTTCTTCCGTCACTTCAAAACTCATCCAAACTACCATGTTCTGGATGGTAAGGCTTTGTCACCAGTTATCGCGTAATAAGTGTGAATCATCTAAATGAATAAACATGAATTCTGTAAGCTAGCCTACCAAATCGTCGAATCAGGTTTGTAACTTGTGTCGTTTAACAACACTCCAGACTATGACTGTACAAAAACGTGAGTTAACAGCAAAAGTTTTCGTTGTCGGTTGATTTAAGTACTACTAAATGACCTAAAATTTTTTCACACTGATCACTCTTCACTAGTTTCAGATTTATGGTATCTTAATTAATTGTAGATAACAAAATTGCAGGGCAATCTGTTGTATAAAATTTACTTTAATTAACACTCGCTTATTCGATCACGGTCAATCTCTGCTAATTTTTTTCAGACAGAATTGACTATCTGGTGTATCATATTTTCTTGACCAAGCGGCTGTTCATTTTTCTATGTTCTAAAACAGGTCATTAAATTATAGGGCGAACTATCAAGTTTTAACCGTCACAGTAACGTATTCACACTGTCACTTTTTTCATCGCTAACGTTACATGAAAATCCAACCCATATAAATGACTTATTTCCATATTTTCGGCAATAGTTGCGAAATTATCTCTACCCTCAAAAAAACCGGTTTTATCCTGACTAAACCCTTAAACTATTTAACCGATCTTCCGGAAAAACAGCTATTATTTACGTTGTGACGGAGTAATGTTCATTTGTCTCTGAGTTTATCCGGTAATTAAAGTGTCAGTATTTTTTCATTTAGGGTTTTCTTTGATTATGGGAAAATAGTTTCCCG